ACAGGATGAGGCAGAACTCAGTGCACCACGGGCTGGGAGAGCAGGTGGTGGCCTGGACATGCGGGGAAGCCAGCCTCCCAAGAAGCTAAGAGACAGCCAGAAAGGGGGTGAAGTCGGAAGCTGAGCCTGGTGTGGTTCAGGCCTGGTCCTTGCTGAGCCCTCCTGCTGTGATAAGGCCTAACTGAAAGCCTTATAGCCCCAGTGACCAAACTGAGAGGCTAGGGAGCACCAGCAGGGAGGGAGTACCAGCAGGGAGGGAGTACCAGCAGGGAGGGACACCAGCCTGGCTGCTGTGGCCTGGGCCTGTGCGGGAGAAATGAAGGTACCCTGGCTGCTCACTCATATCTCAGTGGCCAGGGTGACAGAGCCACTTTGCCTGCTTCCCACAGCAGGGGCTGGACAGGCAGATAGGTGTGGGATAGCTGGGCTTGGAGCCAGTGCCAGCTCTGAGACAGCACAGAAGCTGGGCTCTGCCTGGGCCTGGCAGGCAGCCTGTCCTCACCCCACCTGGCAGAAAGCACATATTACCTAATAAGGTACTTTCTCCTGCGTTGGAACAGCTTCTGACAGACCCTGGAGGGTGTGGGTGGAGGGGGTGGGGCCACTGCTAAAGCAGGAGCCCTACCCCGCCTCCCTCCCACTGGGGACCCTGTCAGAGAAAATCAGCCAGTCCAGGCCTCAAGCCTCCGAGGAGGCCCCCAGGAGCCCCTTGGTGAGTGAGACGGGGCTAATCCCAACAGCCCCTTCGCCTGCACTGCCTCTCCTCGGGCCTCGCTTACAGCTATGCTGGCCCTCCTGACACCTATCTACCCAGGCACACACCATCTGTGAAGAAGGGGGTCATCTTCTAGGGACCCACATTTTATGCCTTGTCCCCCTGTCCAAGGAGGGAAACTCCCAGAAGTGACCTCCAGTAAAGTAATGGCAGGCTATGCCTGTCCAGATTCCAGGGCAGACCTGAGGGGCCAAAGCGGGAGCCAGGGTCAGAGAGTGAGCTTGGTGACCTGAACCAAGTGGCCTCTCCTACCCAAGATGCATTGAGAAAGTGAACACAGACAAGGGTCCCTTCGCTTCCTGACACTCCAAGTCCGGGGCCACGCCAGTTATGGCCAGTGCTTGCTCCCCCAGAGACAGGACACAGCCTTCCCCAGCCTGTGGAGTGTGGGGCAGCTTCGTTGGCCCCAGCATTCTTCAGGGGACACCAGCCTCAGACCCCAGGTCTAACTTGATTCTAAGCGAGGCGTCCTAGCAGTGGGAAGGACTGATGAAGGGCAGGGACGGAGCTGCAGCACATCTGGATCAGACCCCGTGGGGCAGCAGCACAGATGTCCTCACATCTGGCTCAGGCCCTCCACAGTGAGGAGGCTCCAACTGGGCACTCACAGGTCATGTGACTGGACAGCAACAGTTCAGATCCCCCTCTATGACATGGAGACATGGGGCTTTCACAGGGTTAGGAAGCATCCAGAACTGGTACCAAAGCAATCAGCGTTTAGTACCCATGGGTGCCCTTTGCAGGGTGCCTAAGAAGACATGTGCCATTCGGGGTCTCTGCTGCACCCACAGGTACCGAGCCCCAACCAGTTCCTCCCTCCCCTGCCATGAGCCCACCTGTTTCTCAGGTAGGGAGCAGGGAGAAGGCTGGGCCCAATTGATGCTGCCCCAGGAACAGAGGCCCTTAGTCACTAAGGGACATCTTGGGGACACTCAGCACTACCAACAACAGCACCACACCACCAGGCCCCTCTGTACCCAGGACACAATGCCCTAGTCCAAGTGTGTAGCCATGTGTGTGTACTGTGCTGCCGGGTGGCTCGACCACACCCAGGTGACTCAGAGCTGGGGCATGAACCTGCCAGGCCAGTGGGAGAAAAAAGCCACCAGCTCAGGGCCTCGGAATCCAGCCTGAATCACTCAGAGACACACCTGCCCCCGCCCCTCTCTAATGGGCTCTCTCCAAAGGATCGCAAGCCTCCCCACCCCCATCCCATCCCATCCCACTTAAGTGAGAGCAGCATAGACAACAGGGAGATAGCCCCTCACTGACCAGCTGGGCCAGGGGGACCTGGACAGTTTGGGCTCAGGACACCCAACTGCAACCCAGCCTGGGCATCAAAGTCCAGTGCCTGGTTGCCCCAGTGGCTAAACCTGGAGGGTAATAGAAACAGGAGAGAAAATCCCCATGAACGAATGACCCAGCCCCAGGCCAGACTGGGCAGACATATCCCTGACTCTAGTCCCTCAACCAGGCCCTCAGAATGTGGGAACAGTGACAAGATGGGACAGCCAAGTCTTCAGGTAGCCTATATGGTTCAGATCAGGTGAGGTGCAGGCCCAGCTTCACCTACACCTGAGAGTGAGGCCTGTCAGGGAGGCCACCAGCCACAGCCCAAAGGAGCCAAAGTGCGGAGGAGGTCCAGAGCGAGAGAAAACACCAAGGCAGGAGGGCAGATAGCAAGGAGGACAGAGCCACGGCTCTCCCTGGAAAGGAGCCCCAGGCCCCAGGCCCAACACAGGCTGTGTTCTACATGTCACAGACCTAGTACCTAGGGCCCTACTTCCCTTAGAATCCCCAGGCCAGGCCACAGCTGAAAAAGACCCAGCAAAAGGGAGAGGAAAGGCCCAACAGGGACGGCTCTTCAAGGCCCCATTGTCAGCCCAACCCTGCCTACTGTTCCTCATCCACCTAGGACAGTGCCAGCCCCAACCCCATCTAAACTATGACCATAACTATACCTCAAGCCAACCCCTCTCCCGACATTTCAGATATAAACCCATCCCAGCCCAAACCCTGACCCTCAGGCTGCCATATTCACACCCCAGATTCCAGTGTCAGCCCAACCCTGACCCAACTCCACAGCCCCTCCACCCTGGTCACTAGTCCTCACCCCAGAAGCTTCCACCATTACTGCCAGTCCTGCCCCAAGTCTCAAGCTCCCCATCAAGCTGATTTCTACCCTGACTGCCCACCTGAGCCTGTCCCATGGCCACTCTCTGGAACCCTCTTCAGAAAGCTGTGTCTGGAATGGACCAGAGTAGTGGGACAGATGTCCACATGCCCTGCCTGTGAGTCATCACACAGAAACAAGGGCTTGGAACAAGACATTCTTTCCCCTAGGGTTCTCAGAAGCTCCATTCCAGGACTCCTGGGAGTCATGTAGACCCTGGACCTACCATCCAACTATGGTCTACCATCCTTCCGACAGTAAGTGTGTGGTGCCTAAACAGCTAGGAGCCTTCCCACACGCCATGCCTCAGTGGTGGATCAAATCCAGACTCCTGGAATAAAAGCCAAGGGTTCTTCCCAGAACTCTAGCTCTTCCCTGCTACAGAATGCCCCCCTCCACCCTAAAGGCCTCAGAGGCTGGGCTGGAGGTCCCTGCCAGCTTCTATCTAGAGAGAGGCACAGGGCTAGCTTGCTGGTCTAGCCTATGTACCCTCCACCACTTCCAAGGGACAAGAGGATGCTGATCCCTAGCCTGAAGCCACATCCCACAGTCCCTGACATCACTCCTCGATCTCTCAGGCAGATGCAAGGCCCAGGCTCTCAAGTCCTGCACAGCCTCCCCTCACCACCAGCCATTAAGAGGCAGGACCTTCACAGGTGACTCTTCTTGGCCTGTCACCACTTGTGAAAGCCCCTGATTTACAGAGTGGGTGAACCAGGGGCATGTGCGTGCGTGTGTGTGTGCGCGCACACACACATGTCACATGTCATTCAGTGGAGTTAAGGCTTAACCTCTTTTGCCCAATCCCAGTTCTCCACATAACCAGAGCTCACCTCCGAAGCCTAGCCAGGAGTCACAGCCACTTGTGGACAGTAGGAACTGGGGGAGAAAGGAGATTTGGGAACAGGTAAGGCCAGGTTCCAGGCCAGGTGTCCCAAGCAGAGATGCAGGAGGTCCCTGCTGCCACACAACATGGATCCCTCACAGCTCTGTCCAATGGAGAAGAGGTTTTACCTCCCAGCCCACCTGCCCTGCCCTCCAGCAGCCATCATGGCCTAGGCCCCTGCACCACTTGCCTCCATCTTCAGAACTCTTCTTATCTCAGCTCGTCCTCAACCTACCCCATGCTGATCAAGAGGGATGACTTTCCCTGCCCCAATGGCCTGTGGGTCTTCTAGAAGGGGAGGTTGATAGCACAACCCCCTCCAAGCACTTCAGTCTTCAGCCCGCTCACTAGCAGTCAAAACCCTCCACCCAGCCCAGCAAACGAGAATCCACTGCCAGCCACCCACACACTGGCCCAACACTTCAGGACCCCATGCTGAACAAAACGGTCCCCAGGCCCAGAGTGCCTTCTTTCCCCGGCCAGCTTAGACCTCACTGCGGCCCTAAGCCAGGCCCCAGACTCCAGCTCCAAAGGCCCTCTTCCCGCAGACTCGCAACCACAGCCTTCCGAAGGCAGGCTCTCAGAGCCCAGCTCACTGGCCAGCTCCCCAGCATGGCTTATGATGCCACCAGACTCTCCATCTGAGACCTCCTGCCCTCCTGACACCATGAGGGCTCAGGGCTCAATGCCCCCCCCTACCATGCACACCCAGCTCATCCCTATGATGGTCCTCTGGCAGGGGTATCATTGCTTGAATCTTGTGTCAGAGTGACATAGACCCCCACAGCCCCTGCTCGAGTGAAAAGGTGGAGTCATGAGGAAGGGTCTGGGCAGGGCCAAGCCCAGTCTTTCATGTGAGTTCTTATAACACACTGTGGAGATCCCAGGCCTGAGAGAGCCAGAGGAACCAGGACACTTCTGTACAACTCACACCACCAGTGACTACCCTCCCTCCTTATCACGTACACAGACAGACAGACAGACAGACAGACAGACAGACACACACACACACACACACACACACACACTTCAAGCCATGGATGTGTAACCCAGCTCTCCCAGGCCTGTGGCTTCCTCACACCACACCCAGACCTGCCTGGCAGGCTGGACAGGCCTCACTGGGAAGCTGCAGCAGCCCTGCCCCCACTGGGAGCCAGCAGGTTCCATGGGGCAGGAGCGCCCCCAGCTGACAACGTGAGACTAGACCTCCTTAGGCTCCTGCAGCCTAACCAGAGTTGGAAAAGAGGGCACTTCTGGCAGCTGGTGAGGGTGGATCTGGAAGACAGAGGCAAGTGGGGAGTCTAGTCTTGGACGCGGTGATGGTTGGACTGCAGCTAGAAAGGAAGACAGATTAGCACCCTAAAGCTGGTGAGTGAGACCGTGATATGAACCTGGGCTTGGGGGAGCATGAGCCGAGGGGAAAGGTTCTCTCTCTCTCTGTAAGTTTGTCCAGAATGATAATCCAACCTGAGAGACCCCTCTAGCTGGAGGAAGTGGGAGTTAGCCAGCCCTTCCCTTTCCTAGTTGGCTCCATATTGCCCGGTTACTCAGTCCACACGTCTACACAGCCTTCTGGAGGAGCTGCCTGCAGCTCTGTGAGCCACTCAGAGAGAGGCAGCCACTCAGACCTGCAGCCACACTGGCACCAGCATGCACAACACAGGAGAAATCGAGGAACTTGCACAGGAATGGGCCAAAGTTGGCTCCCACGTGGGGCCATTAGGAGCCCACAGAGTCCTCTCCTTCCACCCAGGAGAGACCCACGGCTTAGACCAAAACCCTACACCCTAGAGTGGGTTGACCAATGGCCACAGAAAAATCTACCAAGAGCACCGAACCCAGGAGGGTAGCTTCATCTGGTGCATGTAAGTAGAATCGAAGTGAGATTACCCTCAATTCCCAAGTGAACCCTAAATCCAATGACAGGGTGCTTGTGAGAGACTGGCAAGGATAACACAGGCAAAGAGGAGCAGAGATGAGGACAGACGAGAGCTCAGAACAAAGCCGTGTTGCGGGATATTTGATCACACTGTGAAACTCCGAGACCTTGCTAATAAAGTTGACCTTGGATGGGGGCAGAGCCAGCAACTAGTTGACCTGGACTAACCATAGAGAAGACAAGGATGGACAAGCTAGGAATACTGATAAAGAGATGCACCAGAAGGAGGAGGGAGGGACGTAGGTCTCTTTTTAGTTTGGGACACTCTCTTGCTGGGTCTCTGGCCATAAAAGAAGGTCAGTTGATTGCTTCTTGGCTTCTCTGATCTAGCAAGTTTTCACCCCAACATTTGACTCCTGAGTCTTTACTGGTAAATAGAACAATACAGACTTAGTGAAAACCTACGTTTGGCAGCTGTGGGCAAGTGGTGTTGGCAAAACCAAAAATCCCAGCAGGCACAGTCTGAGGGGTGGGGTGACGATGGGGGGTGCTGCAGGCACAGATGGTAGTTAAAATATCAGTAGATTCAGACCACTAAGAAAAACAACAAAGTCATGTGCACGACGATGGAGCCCTCAAAGCTGCTAAAAGCCAGCAGAGGCAAAGGGAGCCCTGCAGACCTCTTTAAACATGGACTTGAAGACCTGAGAGGGAATCGATTTCTGGCATTTTAAGCCACCAAGTTGGTGATTCCTGAGGACAATCCAAGGGAACCAAGACGCTTGTGGAAATAAGAGCACCTCTACAAGAAAGGGTCAGTGACTATGGACTTAGCCCTGGGGTGAGATGGGGGGATATAGAACCATGTGGGGCATCACCACAAGGCTCAGTCCTAGGACACAGCTCAGCAACAGAGGAACACAGAGACTCTTTGTCTTCAACACCACAAAAAGGGAGGGAATCTGGAGACATTGCTGAGAGAGTAGAGGATCCCCCAAGCACACCAAAGACCCTGCATGCAATTCCTCAGCCTCTCCTAAAGCAAAGTAGTAGGACACTGTCCTGGAATCCCAGACCCTCAAGAGGCAGAAGCAGGAAGACCAGGGCCATCCTAGCTGAGGCCAACTCCTGGCCCAGCTGACCTACAGGAGATCTTATCCCAAAGCCACACACACACACAACAGAAAAGAGATGAGTGCTAAACCCCATTCCATGACCTTGCCAAGCCATGTCTAGCTTACCTGGCAAGCTCCCATTAGACAATATCATCATGTGATGGGTCACCTTCACTCTGCAGATGTCTTGAGAGTCCACATCTCCTCAATCCATGGCATTACAGAGGGCTACAGGTTTGACATCACCTCAGAGACTGTTCTAGTAACTTTTCTATGCTGGGCTACTACAAGGACAACTTAGAGAATAAAGCATTTAATTTGGGGCTCACAGTTCCAGAGAGTTAGTGTCCGTGACCATCATGGCAGACAAGATGACAGCAGGTACACAAGCAGGGGTGTGAAAGATCACACCTTGATCCATAAGCATAGAAGAGAGAGAGAGAGAGAGAGAGAGAGAGAGAGAGAGAGAGAGAGAGAGAGAGAGAGAGAGAGAGAGAGGGAGGAGAGAACACTAGATGGACTGACATGGGCTGTTGAAACCTCTGAGCCCATTCTGGCCCCATGACAAACCTCCTCCAACAAGGTCACACCTCCTAATCCTTCCCAAATAGTTCCACCAACTGTGGGCCCACTAGTCAAATATATGAGGCTATGGGAGCCATTCTCATTCACACCACCACAGGGACAGAGCTACAGACAATATGCTACCCACTTTGCCCCATGAGAACCATCCTGAACTCTCTCCCTGTTGCTGCCAATCAATGTTCCTATGCTAAGTCTGTGAGGCTGGCTGAATCTTTCAGATGTCAGGACAGTTGTGGCTGGGGTTCCTCCTTGGTCACAGATGTGTGGCCTATATTCACCTGTCAGGCTGTGGCAGCTCTCTGTCAATCAGGCTGGTGAGTTTAGTGGAGATGTCCTAGGGACCATGACCCATGCATTTTTCCAGTGTTCAAGGATGACAGTGATGTCTGTCCTTGTAGGAGGAAATGTTGGCTTAGATTTATACTGTTTTTTTGTTTTGTTTTGTTTTGGTTTGGTTTGGTTTGGTTTAGTTTTTCGAGACAGGGTTCTGATGGGGAAGTCCTGTGTATATGTCAATAAAGCACTGTTGGCCAATAGGGAAGCAAGATAGGTGGGACTAGGAGTCCAGGAGGACTCTGGATTGGAGAAACACAGGAGTCACAATGTAGCCCACCAGAGAAGTAAGAAGTCTAGAACTTTTCTCCGGTAAGAGAAATACTTAGATGGGTTAAATACTTAAGTCAGAGCTAGCCAGTAAGAAACAAGCAAGGCCAACAGCTTCATAATTAATACAGTGTCTTGTGTTATTTGGGGACTACAATGTGGCAGAGCCCAGGTGACTGATGGGGAAAAACCAAAGCTGATGGCAAGGAAAAGGCTTCTCTCTACAGGGTTCCTCTGTGGCTTTGGAGACTGTCCTGAAACTAGCTCTTGTAGAGCAGGCTGGTCTCAAACTCACAGAGATCCACCTGCCTCTGCTTCCCAAGTGCTGGGATTAAAGGCGAGCTCCATCAATGCCCGGCTTGTACTGTTTTTAAAAGACTTTTTTATTTTTATTTATTATATCTTAAAAACTAAGAACAGTTTTATTAGGAAAAATGAAGATGATATATACTCTTGAACAACTGAGTTCTAGAAAGATCTGAAAGTCCTATTTGTGTGTGCGTGTGTGTGTGTGTGTGTGTGTGTGTGTGTGTGTGTGTGTGAGCGTGCACACACGTGCTCTTGTGTGTATTTGGGGGAGACATACATATACCTTGGTATGAGTGTGGTCAGAAAATACCTTGTGGGCTGGTCCTCTCCTTCCACTTTCATGTGGGTTCAGGGACGAAACTCAGGTCATCAGGCCTCCACGGCACATGCTTTACCTACTACACCATCTTCCCCAGGCTCAGTTTTCCCACTGGGAGACTTTAGACTTTAAGGAAACAGAGTCTTTCTATGTAGTCCAATCCAGATTTAACCTTACAATCTTCCTACCTCCTGCTCGATAGTTCTGGGATTACAGACATGCACTATCCCCTGCCTCCTGCTGGCCAATGCTGAGATTACAGACATGCACCACTATGAGTTAACACTCTTTTTAAAGAAAAGGTTTATTTTATTTTTAAATATGTGTATGTAGCTGTGTCTGGGGAAGGATACAGCATGTGAGTACAGGTGCCTGTAGAAGCCAGGAGAGGACATTGAATTCCCTAGAGCTGCACATGTAAGTAGTAAGTCGTTATGAGTTGTCCCATGTGAGTATTCACTTGTATACTCTCTGAACCACTGAGCCGTCTCTCCAGACCCATAAGTTGACCCTCTTGACTAAGGGATGGTAAAAGGGGCTGAGATTCCCCTCTGCTGTTTCCCACCCCTGCTGAGTCCTGGATCACTGGGCGGGGGAGGGTATTGTACTTGCTCTAAGAATGTCAGACTCATCAGCACTCGGGAGGCAGAGGCAGGTGGATCTCTGTGAGTTCGAGGCCAGTCTGGTCTACGTAGAGAGTTCCAAGCCAGCCAGGGCTACGTAATGAGATGCTGTCTAAGTTACAAAATGAATAAACTAAAAAGAAAGACTGACAAAGCCAGGTTCATATTTGGAGACCAACAAACAGCTGTTGGGCATACATAGTAAAGTCTAAAGCACTTTAGGCTGGGCTAGGACAGGCACTTACCAGGCTTGTCCCCATACATTATCCTTTACTGTGTCACCAAAGATCCCAAAACTTAGACACCCACCACAAAAGACACTTCTCAGTTTCTGTGGCAGGAACCGGGAACAGCCCAGCTGGTTGGTTTTAGGCTCCAGCTATCTAGAGGCCATGGTCAAGGTGCTGGCCAGACAGCCATCAGCTGAAGGCCTGACAGGGAGCACATTGCTGAGAAGGCTCTCCACGTCACCACTAGCAGAAGAGTCCTAGGCCTCCCCAAAGAGGACCTTGCCACTGACTGCCTGTGTGTCCCTGTATTGTGACAGTTGGCTTCCCCCATAGACTGAAGAGGAGAGCCTGAAGGAGTCCAGGCAGGAGCTTGACACACCCTCCCCTCATGCTGTGTCTCTGCGCCCTTCACAGTATTAGTACAGCAGAGGCCTTTAACAAAGCCAAGAATATTGACTTCCAGAACCCGGGACAGTCCTCCAGTGACCCTGCAGGGGGACCCAGGGGCGGACAACTGTGGGCTCTGACAGGCAGTCCTCCTATGGATTCAGATTGTCCTATAAACTGTGCTAACCCTCATCCAGATGTGGCTCCCCTGCCCTCCTATTCACTGGAAGTAGCCCCCGGGGTGCCCACACTCGCTGATGCCCCCCTTCCCGAGCCGTTTCAGAGAACAGCACACACCAGCAGCTTGGGTGCAGACGATACCTAGGTCCCCAGTGTCGGTGTCGCTTCATGTCCAACAGGACTAGAGTGTCTGGGTGCCCCCTTCCCCACATCGCAGATGTCTACTCCACGGCAGAAGTTCGTGGAGTGACAGTCGGTGCTGCTGTTCGTCAGGTGGCTCTCTCACTAACCCCCACCCCCGTTCATTCTCCATTCACAGTTCAGAACCTGGTGAACATGCCTGAACTTTTGGGGCTTCGTTCTTGGTCTCCCAAACAATACACTTGGAGGAGTTCCCACACCTGCTGCTCGTCTGCTTGCTTGGAGACCTGGTAGTCTCAGTCATCTTCAGACCGCTACAGGTTGGATCCTCTTGGCTGCACCCCTGAGCTTGTGACAACAGTCTTGTCATGGGGAGGCTGGGCCCACAGCCTGGCTCAAGAGCCACTGCTACCAGCTCACGAGTGGTGTTTCCTAAACAGGGCACCTGGTCTTTTACAGGTGACCTGGTTGTATGGAATTTCCTGGGTGCCAGCCATGGAAAGAAGGAGATCAGAACCATCAGAGTAGGGGAGGGGGGCATTCCTTTCTCATGCCTTCTGGCCCATTCCCTAACGACCTCCAGGCCTCATCCCCAACACCCTGAATCTAGGCCTCTCCAGCACCAAAAGGAGGCCAGGGCACACCCCAGCCCACAAAGGAGGCCAGGGCACACCCCAGCCCACAAAGAGGCTCGCCCTAAGCAACCCACACAAAGCACCTTGCTGCCTCCACTTCAGTTCTTCCAGATCCTCCCCCATGAAGTTTTACTCCAGGACTTACCCACCTGTGCTCTGCCCCAGGGCTCCAACCTCCCTCCACCCATTCAGCCACAGCTCCTCTGTAGACAGAGTTTCTGTTTCACCTGGTCCCATCGCCCTTCAGTCCCAAATAAACACACAGAGGTTTATAATTATAAACTGTTTGGCCAATGGCTCAGGTTCTTATTGACTAGCTCTCTCTTAATTATTAACTCATTTATTTATTTTTCTTTTTTTTTTTGGTGGTGGGGGGAGAAGTTCGAGGCAGGGTTTCTCTGTGGCTTTGGAGGCTGTCCTGGAACTAGCTCTGTAGACCAGGCTGGTCTTGAACTCACAGAGATCTGCCTGCCTCTGTCCCCCAGTGCTGGGATTAAAGGCGTGCGCCACCCCACCTGACCCTATTACCCCATTTCTATTAAAGTATGTATTGTCAAGAGGCTGTGGCTTACCCATAATACTCTGGTATGTTACTCCTTTGGCGGCTACATGGAGCTCTCTGGTGGTTCCTCTCTGCCTTCCACTTCCCAGCCCCTTCCTAATCTGGTAACCTCACCTATACTTCCTGCCTGGCTATTGGCCAATCAGCATTTATTCATCAACCAATCAGAGAAACACATATTCACAGCATACAGAAGGACATCGCCCATCACTCCTCAGTGCTCACTGCCAGCCCTCCTCTCTCCTCCCTCCACCCATGCAGCCACAGCATGACAAGCTCCTGTCACTACTGAAACGCCAGGCTCCATTCTCACCCTTCATGCATAGTTATTTAAACATCTAGTCCTCCCATGTCACAATCACTGTTACGAGAAAGGCTAAGTGACTCACCCAGGGTCACACAGCTCCTGAGTGACAGAACTGGAGGCAGGACACTGTTCCCCACCAGCCTGTGAGTGAACTGTTGCAGCTTTATATCTCTTGCAGTTTGACCATCCCCTGACTTCTAAGAAACTTTCCTAGCCCCTCTGCCTCTGCCCCACCTCTGGGAAAGCCTGGTCAGCTGATGTTCAAGCACAGCTGTGGTGTCCCCTCCCACAGGGTCACAGGTGGTTTGGGTTTCTTTCCATTTAGGGGGTTCACGTCCTTATTTTTATCATTAATGACAGTCTGCTCCTTTCCAAAGACAACGTGGAAAATAATTCTTTCAAGTTCACAACCAGCACATGGACCTGAAGTGCCTGGCCCCCGGAAACAGAGGTGGCAAAGATGCTGTGTGATTAAGTCTCAGGGCAGCTGGGTTGGGAGAAGAAATCTGATCCGCACTATCTGCAGGAAGCAGGCTGTTTGCTCTGTGGCCACAAAGTCTTTATCTCATTGTAATAAAAATTGCTTACAAGGTCCTTGCTAGGAGGAACACTGAGGGGTGGGTGGATTTCTTGTGCCCTAAGAAAAACATTTTTGAAGCAAAAGGAAACCATATTTTATGGGAATGTTGACCAATGCCGAGGACACAGCACCAGTAACGCCCAAGAACACTGAGTACTCCAGAAGAGGCGCCCACAGTGCTCGAAACAGCTTCTCTCAGGGCAGGATGGTGAGGTCAGGGTCAGGACTGAGTGCCCAGAGACTGGCTGGATAACTCGGCCCAACGACGCACACTAAGATACTAGGCTGTGCTGACACGGTGCTGGCCCTTGAGAGCAGGGCCAGCTCTCCCATCTCCAACTCTGTCCCTGGTCCTGCATCTGGACAAGGATGATGGAACCAAGGCCATGAATGACTGAGTCTAGCTCCATTATTAGAGACCCAGAGAACCTCGTGGATCTCTCCCACAGCCTCTTATCAGACAAAGAACCAAAATGAGCAGGAGACTGAGGAAGCGTCTTTAAGTGGCAGGCCTTCAAAGGGAGCTTTTAGTGAAGTAGTTCAGGGAAAGGATGGCCGGCCTCCCTCAGGAAGGCTCCAGAAGGGCCAACGGGAAATAACAACCTGTTCCATCCAGGCTTTGTCACCTAAGGATTTTTTTAAATAGAAGTAGGCATGGGAACATGATTCTGCCTAGAATGGCATGACCCCTGGATATGAAAACTTCACTCTGCCTTTCTAGGCCAACTGAGGAAACAGTAATTAACCACATTCCACCGCTGTTGGTTTACCTTTGTGGTGGATAGATGTTTGAGAGCCGGGTTGCTAACCAATTCTATTGCTGTGAGTTTACCTGTTAGCTTTAGTTAGTTTTAAACCAGGAAGTCAGCGGCTATTGTCATCAGCTTCCCCATTAGCTCTGTGGTCAGGCTAGGGCCGAGAGTGTCCTTCTGAACATGTTGTTGCTCTTGTATGGGTCAAGATTTTTGTTTGGTTTATGCAGCACAGGGAATTGAACTCAGGGCCTTATGCATGCTAAGCAAGCTTCCTACCACTGAGCTATACATCCAGCTCTCTTCTAGTTTTTAACTGAGCAGTAACAAGCAGCATGAGATTTGCTTGCATATGTTAGCATTTTTCTGCCTCCTCTCCCAGTTCCCTAGCGCCTTGGCTGCCAAAGGGCCTCACACCCTGCCTGGTGTAGACGATTCTTTTTTTTTTTCCCCTTCTATTCTCCTCTTCTTTCATTTCTCCATCTCTTCCTCCTCTTTTTCTTTTTCTTCTTTTTGTTTGTGGAAACAGGGTCATATATAGCCTAGGCTAGCCTCAAATTCACTATGTAGCTAAGGATGACCTTGAACTATGATCTTCCTATTTCTGTCTCCCAAGTGCTAGATAGAATTACAAATGTGAGTCTGTAAAAGTAATAAGCCCTAGCCAGGTCAGGCAGCACACACCTGTCCTTGGGAGGGAGGCAGAAGCAGGAAAACCAGGAATTTGAGGCCTGCCCTGGCTACATTAGACTTTGTCTTAAGGTAGAAGGAGCATGTATCATGTTTCCCAACAACCCTTACAAAAGGGGCAGTCACCTGACTGAGCATTGGACATTAGGATGCTAACAGACATAACAGGGGTGAGAACATTCCTTTTTGTCTTGTCCCCTCTCTAGATAGGCCATGAAGGTGATGGTAACTGGCCAGCTTTGCTCAAACTCAGCCATCAGCCTGTGGGGCAAGAAAGTGCCATCAAAAATCCTGGCTGGCACAGCCCTTTCCAGCGAGAGGAGGTAAACTAAGGTTCCATTGTGTCTACGGCACTGTTCTTGTGAGGCTAACGCAACAGGAAAACCCTTAGGAACCACCTGGGGAATATCATTGCCCTACCTCCCAGGAGCCACCTGGGCACTGGGCTGTGCATGCACTAACAGACTTTTTCTGAGGTCATTCCCGACCTTCTGCCTAATAAGGAAGACAGCACCCCTGCCATGTCTTTACAGATGGGGAAACTGAGGCCCAGCATATGACTGACCTGAGCCCACCCCACCACCCCCCTGAGAAAATGAGAGTGGTTCACTAATAGCCAAGCAAGTTCATCTGTGAAAAAGAGTGTGAATGACATGCTGGGGACTGGGTCTCAGAAGGTGAGCCCTCAGCCTGATGGTGGGGCAACCCTGGGGAGGGGAGGGAACAGCCAATGGAAGGGGGCTTGGGCAATGAGGGAAATGGTCTTGCTACCAATCAGCAAATGCTTGCCCAGATCCTAGCACGCAGGGGCGGTTGTGATGGTTTGGATGAGAATAGCCCCTTTATTGGAGGAGGTGTGTCATTGGTGGTGGACTTCAAAGTTTTTAAAGTTCACACCAGGCCCAGTTACATCGCTCTGTCTCCTGCCCAAGGACCACAATGTGAACTCTCAGCCACTGCTCCAGAACCATGCCTGCCAGTCACCACGCTCCCTGCCACCATAGTCATGGACTCACCCTCTGAAACTGTAAGCAAGCCCCTAATTAGATGCCTTCTTCTCTAAGTTGCCTTGGTCATGGGGTCTCTTCGAAACCATGGAACCATAAGACAGGCCTTGTATTGGTTTTTGGGGGGGCGGTGAGACAGGGTTTCTCTGTGTAGCTTTGTAGACCAGGCTGGTCCGAAACTCACAGAGATCCTGCCTCTGCCTCCCGAGTGCTGGGATTAAAGAAGTGTACCCCCACTGCCTGGCTGGGCCTTAAATTATCATTATTGAGGGTTCAGATGAAGACTCTGAGCCCTGTGCCATAGCCCCAGCAGCCCGTGGCACTGTACAAGGCTGGACCTGCTGTACCGCCATGACTGTCAGAGCTGTCAGGGCTCACAAAGCACGCACTGGTTCTGTGGTTCTGAAAAGGGCTTGTCTCCACCACAGCCCATCAACACGTATGTGGTGGTTTGAAAGAAAATGCCCCCCAAAGGGAGTGGCACTATTAGGAGGTGTGGCCTTGTTGGAGTGGGTGTGGTCTTCCTGGAGAAGTGTGTCACTGTGGAGGTGGGCTTTGAGGTCTCATATACACTCAAGATATCACTCCGAGAGACAGACTGCTTCCTGTTGCCTACAAGAGACAGGACTCTCAGCTACTTCTTCAACACCAGGTCTGCCTGCAAAACACCATGTCCCACTATAATGGACTGGACCTCTGAACTGTGAGCCCCAATTAAATGTTTTCCTTTGTAAGAATTGTCCTGGTCATGGTGTCTCTTCACAGAGTAGAAACCCTAAGACAACAAGGCAGCAATCCACAGAGAGTAAGGGCAAGGGAGATAGATACTGTGGATGGATTTTTCTATCCCGCCTGCCAGCTCCCAAATCATGACACAGAAATGTGTTATTAATTACGAAAGCTCAGTCAGTCGCTTAGGCTTGTTCCTCACTAGCTCTTATAACTTAAATTAATCCATATTTTTATTGCCCTATGTTCTACCTCACGGCTTTTACCTCTAGTCCATTTTGTGTGTCTGACTCCTTCGCATCTGTCTGGCTTCTCCTGCATCACCTGGGGGCCCCTCCCTTCTTCTTCCCAGAGTTCTCCCTGTCTGACTCTCCCACCTACACCTCCTGCCTGGCTAATGACCCTTCAGCTCTCTACTAAACCAATCGGAAGGCGCCTTGACAAAGACACATTCACAGAGTACAAAAAGATTATTCCACCACACTCCACTCAGAAAGTGGGGAGACTCAAGTGAGGCTGTCAGAAGCTGTGTCAACGCAAGGGCTCTAGGGTCTGTGACTACAAATCTTGCAGCTGGGCATGA